GAGGGGACTCAGCAGTAACCAGTATTGCCACAAAAGAAAACGCATCACTAACAACAACAGTGACAAGTGTCAAAAGCAGTTACCTCATCTTTAGGAAAGTAGGGTCTTATGGTGTACACTTTGGAGGTGGGGGTTAATGGCGGTGGTTGAAAAAAGAGGTCATTTGCTCCATCAATAGGCAGCAAACGCTGTGAAAACAAAATATTTAATATGACTGTATGAACAGCAAAACCCAACACACTTGGGTGTGCACTGCAGACTCCCAAATTAACATTTGCTACTTGCAGGCACCCCAGAAGAAGGTGGGGTTGGTATGCTTTACAAATGCAAAGTCCTTATTTGAATAGAAAATATCCAATTGGTGTTTTAAAATATGCAATTGAAACAGCACATTAAGAGTCTGTTAATCTTATCTGCTTTAAAATACTTTTTACCAATCATATCTACTCTCTCTCTGTATAAGAACATAGAATGTCAGGAGGAAAGGTTTGGTCTGAAGAGGGTTAACTGGCCAGAGGAGACGCTTTATCCCAAAAGCAATGCGCTGATTCAATTTGCTGCGCGCAGAGCACCTGTGAGGGGGGAAAAGTATAGCGCCTGAAAAATCCATGAACAAATTTGAACATGGTATAAACAGCGATTTAAGAATATTTGCCAATTGAAATCTTTGCAACAAAGCGCATTACAGCTTTATTTAGAGAGGAACCAAAATTTGGATGACTATCCCTTTTGCTCATGGAATTCCCATTGGCAGACAAGCATGCGCGCATTGTGCAATTGCGGGCGCAGATAAAAATGCTGTGCGACCTGCAAAGAAACAATGTGAAATGTACAACTAAAGCCGCTGCGCTTCGCATGCGCGTGGGACAGGCAGCATCTCCTTGAGAAATTACTGTAGAAAGGGGAGGAAAATTATTTTAAACCAAGCTGTAAGGCTAATGGGCTTTGGACCAGAAAGCCTTCGGCAGACCAATCCTTCCAGACCTCTGATGTGCAACAAAAGGTTTCTCAAAAAACAAAGAAAACGTCATTCAGTTGTGAAGTCATATTGATACCTGGAACTCTCCTGCTAGACCACCTCTAAAGGCCCAGGGTTCTTGGTCTCCACTTAAGAACTGTGCTGAAGATTGACTACGACACCCTGTTGAGATCAGATCCAAGCGGAGAATGTTACGAGAAGGGGGATTTCCTGGGTGTCTAACATGTCCAAAAAGCTAACACACACTTGTGGAAAAAACTCTCTAACTGAGCTAGAATCCAGGGCTGGGGGGGAGGCTGTAATAATGTGTAATTAATAAAGATTTTGTGCTTGCGTACTAATTGTGGTACTCCAAATTTTTGATTACCTATAACAGACTAGTCTAAGAACAGGTGAGGTGATTCAGCTAACACACCTCATCAAGACCAGAAGGCACAAGAATGGTGCCATGCACAATTACATAAGCTTCCCAGACATTTCGTACATTCTTTTTTTGTATATTTGTGGCAGAAACATCCACTTCATCTATGAAAAATGACATCTTGGAAGCTATGTGGCTCTATAGCTATTGTAAATTTTAGATCAAACAAATGCCATTATCACAGCCCCTTGAAAAAAAAATGGACCTTTCTGAAGTCACATTTTAGTCATGATTGTTTCTAATCTTGTCAGAAAACTAGGACTGGCAGTATATGCAAACAGTCTGGAACAGTTCAGGCAGCCAGGACAGTTATATGAAACAGTATTCTTGCAAGAGATTACGCAGGTTTACATTATCCAGGCTGTACCTCCACAATGCTGCTGGCACGTTTAAAAAGATAAGTAGTGTTAACTGGAATTAACTCACAATTTAACTACTACACCCTGATGGACACAGGTAATACTAGCTTTGCTTTTCAGCATCTTGATTTTTTTTCCTCCCCAAGCATATCATATGCACCAGGTTTCCCGCTGATCAACCAGCTGCAGCAGGCCCAGTGAAGTGCTCGGCTTTAGTTTACACTTGCTTTAGAAAGGAAACTGTCATTAGCTGTTTAACTTTAAATTCTGGTCTGCCAGCAATACACCACAGCCTTCAACAACTAACATAAATGACAAGTCTGTAAAGAAAAAAAAAAACAACACCCAAAAAACTGTGGTATCTGGAGTAGAGATTTCAATTACCCGCCTAGTTTTCTGACAAGATGAGCAGCGCAAATACTCTTTTCCTTTTGTGGACAGCAATCTACCTCCTGTTCAAGTAACAGTCTCAGATCAGTACAGACAAGTATGTTGTGCTAGTCAGAGAGTCCCAAAGTGTGCCAAGTTTGACATTTATGAGAGTTTAGGAATATATATTAAATACAAATTACCTTAAGTATGGTAAATTTCAGAAATGATCCAAGCATCAGAATTTGAATTTGGTTTGTCACCCACATTTTAGAATGCTCATGTAAAAAGATACCCTTCATAAGGAGGTTTAGTCAAGAACTTGGAAGACAGTATCTGTCTGTCCTTTGAGACTACAACTTAACTAGCACTTCCAATTATTACAGTAAAGAGCTGCGTGAATGAAGAGCTGTATAAATGAAAAACATAGTTAATGCCTTAGTCGCTGCGCAAATGTGACTTCAGTTCATGCCTACTGCACATCTAATCTATCTGAGCTGCCTCACAGACAAAACCTTTCCATTTTAATTAATTAATGACGACGCGCTGTGAACATCTGGCGCTGTCCATCCAATAGCAGTAGAAACTTGTGCTGAGGATTCTCCCATCTGTACACAATGGGGAAGAAGACAATAGAAGTCATTAGTAATCCATAGTACTGTACAGCCACACTAATTTAAGGGACTGAATGCTAGCTGGACTTGGGAGGAGACGTGAAGAAAGCGAACATTCAGTGGACCATTGAGCACACCATTGTAAAAACTAATTTGTTTGGATTCATAACGTACTTAGCTTTATATAATGATGTATTTTATCAGAGACCTTTGCTCTATATGTATTTACACTAGTGATAAAATGCAAGCTGAAGACAAAAGCATCGCCTCTCACAGAAGCACTGTTAGTAAAAGAGTATTAAACTGTCAAAAACCTCTTTAAAATTAATTTTTAAGCCATCCAATACCAGTTTGAGTACCGGAACAGAACAGTGCCAAAGTTAACAGAGCTAGTATTTACAGAGTTGGCTTCTAATATGAACTATTCCAAACATTTGATGCATTTAAAGACTTGAACCCAACTTTATAGTAACAATGAAAACTGAAGACAATTTCAGCTGATATCAGTAGGTAGCTGATAATTCTGAAATGCAGTCCTAAATTGGGCCCCGAATGTTTAGATTACAAGAATCACTGTTCTCTTTCTAGAGTTTTGGCCTGGAGTTTTAAAGAGATTAAGTTATCAAAAAGACAGTACTCTTTCTGCCTAAAGGTCAACATACAGCAAGAATAGTAAAGTTGGGAGAGTTGTGTCACACTGGTCATGAACTAAAGCTTTTTAAACAGCACTAGGCTGTTAACATACTATAATGCTGCTGAGTTTTCCTCCCGAGCTAGTTTTCTTCTCTGTACTTTGCAGAAGGCAGTCTTAAAAGCTCTTCATCAACCATACATATATGGATCAGATATTTAATAAGCACAAAACACAGGAAGTTGTTGAGCATGGACTGACTTGATGACTTAACAGGTCTTCTCTGTCCCTGCTTAAACCTGCCAGTACTTAAGAGTATCATTCAAAGACAATCCAAACACTAGGACTAGACCAAGGTTGTGTAATGGTTAACCACTGTGAGGTTTGCGACAGCTACAGGAATTGTGACGTGAGATCATCAGCTTTGCTGCCTGCTGTGTATGTCAAGCAAGTCCACAGCATATTCCTTACAGTTGGATTGAAACCTGAAAGTGAAATGAGGTCACTAGAATTACCCAGGCCATGCTGGTGCTATCTGGCAACTTAGAATCCCCCAAAAAATCTTTCGGGGGGGGAAAAAAAAAAAAAAGAAAAAAAGAAAAAAAACCCAAGAGAGCCACACATTAAGAAAAAAAAAGAAAAAAGAAAAAACTGTTTCAAGATCAGTTTAAGTCTCAGACTAAATCTGTCTAGAGAGCTCAACAATTTCCACCCACTACCAAAAAATAAATTAAAAAAAAAATCAACAATTTTGAAAGTGTTTAAAGGAAATTATTTTGCACCAGAATAGCCTTACGCTAAAGCTCGCATGCGCACAGGGCTGGGAGGATCGGCTTCCTCTTGGCCATGCCCATTGAAAGGTCGCTTCTGCAATTGTTCTGTTGAAGACAGCAATAATGTTATCAAGACAGAGCAAGCAGCAGATGGCTGATGTGGTCACATTTCGTAGTGTCATTTCCAATCATACACCAGGGTATCCAAGGAGTTACAATGGCATAGTCCAGTGTGCATTCAGTCAAGAGTAAGTTAAAGTCAACACTTACGTGTCAGCTGAGATTCAAGTTTCATTAGCCCAAGAAGAAAATCAAGGTCTCCAATCTTAAGCATCCGGCAGACTTCACTTATCATACCAAAGCAAATTCACAGCAAGCATTGCTTCAGATAGTGAGATGGGAAAACCTTTAAAACAGGGTCAAACTAGACCCCATGTCCAAGAAAACACATTTGCCTAATACTTTGTTTTCCCCGTGGGCTAATTAAAAACCAAAAAAAAAAAAAAATACACTATCTGGGATTATAATGGCTCCCAATGCACCTACCTAACCACTGCACAAAAGATTTCACCATTGACATAATACTCTTGATATCCCAGACGTAGGAGTACATGTCATAAAGGATTGTCCTGTTGGCACAATTGGAGAGGCGAGTGAACATCCCCATCACCAAGCTGCACATCTCTTCAAACTTGGCTGCTCGGTTACGCCATTCTTCTATCTACGAACGGAGGCAAAAGATCCACAAGATCAAACAGAGCCTTCTAGAGAGGAGAGGTATTCTAAATATGGAGGAAGACTATACAATTCATTACTTCATTTTACCAGCATGGACTACCACACCACACGTGACTCATAGGTATTCTCTAAGGCCGTTAGAAGTGAGGCCAGTACAGGGATCACTGGTCAAATGCAAACACCAGTCTGCCTTCACAGACACATGCCACTAAACCGGTAGATTCCACTAGAGGAATGAAAGCTACTGTGACCCGTGGTTAGTTATACACTTCAGCTTTTAGGAAGCGGAACACCAATCTCTGTTACAGGCAACATTGCTCAAGATTTTGATTTAAAAGGAGAGAAACAAGATTCACACTCACTTTTTCAGCATCCTTTCCTTTGCAATTAACACTGACAACACTGCTATTTGCTCTGAGCCACTGGAATTCTCTCAGCATCTGTGCACCTTTGGGCCCATGTTCATAAGGAAGGTAAAACAAGTCAGCGAGAAGCTGCAAGTCCTCTAAAGTCACTGGTTCTACCGTGTAGAGAGGCTTTTCATTTGGCCCGGGCACAAACTGTTCTTTGTTAATTTGCTCATCAGTCTGCATAGGGGCAATGTCACTACCAGAGTCTTCCTGCATAGACATCTCTGGGGACTTTGATTCAGCTATGCTCTCCTTATCGGTATCCATTGGCTTCAACTCCTCTGCCATCTTGGCTTCAGCAATGTCTGTCAGTATCTGATTAGCATTCTTGTCTGCGTCATCTTGTTTTTCCACCACCATGTCCATTGGTTCCTCATCAGATTGCTTCTTCTCTTCCTCCTTTACCAAGGCCGGTGACTCGCTGCTCAGCGCTGCCCCCTGACTCATGATGGGTTCCTGGTAAACTGTGGTAACCACAGTTGCTGCATTCAAAGAGGATGGTGCCACCAGAGGCCCTACATCCCCTACAGTAGTTTTAGCACCACTGTGGGCCACTTGCCTACCTGAGAATAAGAAAAAACAAGTTTAGAGATTTCAGTATCTGCCAACTAACACTCAAATCAGCAACTTTTGCAAATCATGGATGATTCTGTTGCCACAGCTTCCTTTCGGTACTTTGTTCACTTTTTGTCATTGTAATTCTAATTACCGACTTCATCTTATGGCAAGTTTCCCCTCCACATAACTAATAAGCAAAGATAAGATGGGGAAAAAAGCGTAAAATTTATGTGGTGTCAGCAGCATTTCTGACTATGCCATCACAATAAAAAGCTTTCAAAGATAAATTTTTCCCTCTGCATCAACTGACTTGATAAAGTTTTACTTGGATATAGAGTACACTTCAAAATAAAAGGACCAATGCTTAAATATTTCAACTGCAAAAGCGTCTTTAAACTAGGGAAAAACAGAGATATTCAAAACCTGACTGGACATGGTCTTGGGCAACCTGCTCTAAACTCAGCCTGCTTGACCAAGGTGGTTAGACTAGGAGTTCTCAGGAGGTCCCTTCCAAGCTAAACTATTCTGTGAAAGTGGAGGAAGGTTACACCTTAACTACTACTCTTCACCCAATGTTTTTGCTGCAGCTGAGTTTTAGAACCCAGAAAAATAAAGCCATCTTAAAACAACTGGAAGACACGGACTCTTCTGGGGCAGAACTAGTGTTCACAATAATCTAACACCCACTTCAAAAAAAGACTATTCTTCCTAGTCTCTCAGGTCCCATGGAAGTCTAGTAACAACTGGGACTAGCAAGATCCAGACTCTTTCCTGTCTTGTATCAGAAGCACCAAAGATCGTATGTCAAGGTTTCTTCTGCTGATTAGTCAGGGCACTACAGGCACACTGCAGAATCCCAAGCATTCTTCTTTATTAAGGTTTCCCCAATTAGTAAGGAGGAAAGTACTTCCAACTGAAAAGTATATAAGTTATCAGGATCTGTAAAATACTTTTAATCTAAATGCAAGTACTGAACATTTAACCCCATTTTTCAGCTAAGCCCAGAACAATATCAAATCAAACTCACTGCTGTATTGCTGAGGTACCCCAAACTCCTGCAACCATTCCGTTAAGGCCAACTTCAGGGCCATTTGTGGGCTGTAGAGAACATCTGTTTCAATATCTTCGTCGCTCCCCTCATTTTCCAGTTTAATCTGGATAGAAACTGTACTGTCTTCAGTATCAGCTACAGAGACAAGTTTTAAAAAGTTATCATGCAAGTTTCATTTAAAATAAAAAAGTCACATTAGACAAGGCATTCAACAGCCTTCACAAAGAAGGACAAAGCATTACATCCTAATTAGACAAAATGGAAAACTATGGTCACCATCACTATCAATACAGAAACAGTATGCAGAAACCAGACATTCTGGCATTCAGTTTCTCTTTTGATCTGCTTCTATTATAATGAAATCAAATCCATGGACACTTATGTCAAATTTGGGCATTAAAATTGCTTGCTGAGAGTGCTTTTTATCCAACCACATACACCTCTCAAGACTTAAGAAATTATCTGATTCTTCAGGAAGTCAATAAAACAATCTAGATGCTCGTTATCTTTCAGGCAACTATTTAATTTTGGGATATAAAATGCTAGGTGAACTTAGAAAGAAAAAGGTGAGGAAAGGCTAGAATCATTAAAAAAATAAAGATAAAAATCAGTATAACTTATATGGTTAAGCATAGAACCTGGGGCAAACAGTTACGCATACTTACTCATCACCACATCTTTTCTCACTCCATTCATGTTAGACTTGTACCACGTTGCAAGTGTGTGAATAGCAACATAATTGGCTTCAAATTCACAGTTTGGATTGGTCAGAACTCCCTTTAGTCGAGGGATGAGCTCAGTTGACCGACCTTTGTAAGGCCCAAGAAAAAGCCTCTTTTGATCATAATCATTAGCATGAATGTTATCCCAGATCACTGGTGCTCTCCTGATGATCTTAGAAACTTCTTCAATGGACTCTACTGGAATGTCTTTGGATACAACTTTCGGACCTAAGAGGAAAACAGGATAATCAGAGGGCTTTGCATATACTTGAAGATTCACTCCCCAAGAAGTTCACAGTTTATTTTATTGAATATTTATGAGAAATAAATTTTAACACCAACAGCAAATAAAAAAACCCAATAAAACAAAACCAAAACAACCCCAAACACCCCAGCCAAACACACAATTTTTACCTGTCCATAACACCTCAATGCCAGGGAGCAGCTTTTCTCCTACAGTCCGTAAATATGGTGACTGGGCAACATTTGGATAACAGAAAGTTCCACAGTACTCTGCACAGGAAAAGAGAATGCCACCGTTAGTAGAAGGATGCACACATGCGTTTGTGGGACAGTTGAGTATGTTGACAGATTGAGAGAATACTACCACTTGAGAAGAGAAACATCTACAAAATCAATCGAGACCCAAAAATATAAAGTAAAAATAAAAAGGACATTATGAATGATACTTAGCATAAAGATCAGAAAGGAAAGGTAGAGAATTTATTTTAAATTGCACAAATGTCAAAATTATGAAAAAACTAATAGTCTATAAATAGAAAGGCACATTACAGCAAAAAAATGTGCAAGAGAAGTAGAAACCCTAAGACTGATTATGAAGTGCTAATACCTAAAAATATCAGAACATATGTCTCTCCAGTTAAAGACGAGGTCTGCAACAGAACCAAACTACTACAGTGTAAGGGGATAAACAAATTAACAGTGATGATAACATTGCTACTGAATTGAATTTTCCATGCTACAATCCACACCACTGAACATAGTGATTCTCTCTCCCTTACAATATTCTTACAGGTATTAGAGGAAGCTTGCAATTTAAAAAAAGCAATGAATGGACCTGAGTGCAAGTCATTTTTTAATAAATCAGACAACTCAGTGACTGGTTAAGAGAGGGTAACCTTATTAAAGACAGGTACCAACGACAGAAGTGAGCACAGACTGTGCTGTACCTCTACTTCAAGAAAATTCAAACAAACAAACAGCTAGCCAGATCAAGAAGCAAAAAGATTTTGGTACAAGTCAAACAGAAGTCTTCCTTTAACCTAATTTTCAGTTCAAACTTCTCAAACCATTCTGTCAAGCTGCCTTCTTTGTTTGGCATTAAGCCTGTCAGAGATGCATAGATTTGGCAAAACCTCTGCGTATATTTGAATTACCTGAACCTTTCTTTAAAAGTCAATTTCTTCAAACAACCCCAAAATACTCCTTAAATATTAAACCAGCTTTTCAATCAGTAAGATAACAGGGCCCCTCCTTTAAGGCTGAACTAAATGATTCATCTCATTTTACCTGTAGGACAGAAAAGGAATGTGTCTGGTTCTCCTAAATATTGATAAATTTCATTTGTGATCGAGACCTGAGCATGAGCAAAGGAACTGAAAACTTCTTTGTCTGCTGCACACATGTTGTGATCGATATCATCAAAGAGCAATGCAAAAGATCTGCAGCCAAACTGGGAAACCTAATACAAGAAACAAGAGCAAAAGGTTTGATTTTTTAAAATTATTTTTATTTCCTTTTTAAAAATAAAATTGTAGAATTTTTAAAAGGAAAAGCTACAGGAATGGGGGAGAGAAGGTAGGGGTGGCAAGACAGACTTTGACATTTATTCACAATGAATGCCTATCTCTGACTTACTGCTCTGCTTTTGTCAAAAAGATTAGACCTCTAAAGACCTGCAATCTGTTCCAGTTTTAACAGTCCAAAGCTGATCTCACTGGACAGACAGCTGGGAAAAAAGCTAACTCTGTAATAGCTTTTGAACAAGACAGCGAAGTCAATTATGAGAACAAAGAAGATGTGTATGTCAGGTCTGCCTACGAAGGCATTTATTCTGGATGAGAGTTCTTGCTTTAGAAATGCATCTTGGCTTCAAGGCCCTAAAATTCTCTGAAGACAAGCTCCCAAGAACAATCTTCAGAATCCAATATGAGACTTTTTTTTTTCCAAAATCTAGATGACCACTGTCCGCTTCTGCTATGCAACCTGAACACATTGACTGAAATTGTTCAGAGGCACCCAAACTAGCACTAGCGTTGAAAACATTAAAGCAGCTAGTGAAAAGCTGCAAGATTGAGCAGGGTACTGAAGTTTTCAAATTAAGTAGCACTGCAACTGTGGTAAGCTTGTGTCACACTTACCTGGTCCAGCTTGCGTTTCAATGTGGATACCTCTTTAGGATTGGAGAAAGTGATGTCAAGTCCAGGTGAGATTGCATAGATGAACTCTATTTCATGTTCTCGTGCAGCTGATATTAGAGTCATTAGCTGCTCTGGAAATCAAATTAAAATATTTTAGAAGGAATCAACAGTTAAAACAATAGTGTCAGACACCATTATAAGTAAATTATAAAATGCAGATGCCTCTGCTATCATAATAAAAAAAAATGTAACAATTTGTTGGAATTTCTTAAAACTAACATGACAAAGAGCACCAAATGATTTGGAAGAGTTCTCAGAAATTATGCCAAGAGGAATATAAAACAACTGTCCTTGTATTGTTATTTTCCATGTTAAAATTTTTAAAAGATTTTAAAAATTCTCTTCATCTCCATGTTGTGAGACAAATGTGGATGTAGTCTGTTTTTACAGTATGCACACCAACAGTCCCAGAATTATTACTTACTTTTTCCACTTTTGTCACACATACTAAAAGACAATTCAATGTAGTAATACCACCCTGAATGACACCGATTCACATACTATTCATATGACTGAAGCTTGGGGGACATGAAAAAGGGCTTTTTTAACTTCATTGCACAGGTGTAGCTGCTTTAAGAAACAAACTTCAAATTTAATCTTCCCTACAATGAATAAAGAGAATTATTTTTAGAATATTTAATAATCTTTATTGTTATGGGCAATTATCTTGCAGTATCCTTTAGATTACATTTTTGCAGTGATTCAAAGTGGCCTCCAAGAAGGATAAGTTAATTTCAAGCGAGTATCATTTTTCCCCTCACCCCAGGAAAATGATAATCCTCACAGGCTAATAAGACACCATAGATCCCATAAATGCCAGAGGTGCATAAAAAGCCTCACACCAGCTTAAAGAAGTCTTATGTTCTGACTAAATAGTCAGAAGCTGCTTTTCTGACTGGTACTCTTTTCATTGAGACAATCTTTTTTTCTTTTCTGTAGCAAATATTTTCCACTTCAAAAATCTGGCTCTTGAACATCTGAGCCACAGGAATAATTCTGAGCAACCTTTCCCTGGAAAAAAGTAAATCTCGTAAGACAAAGCCTTAAAAGCAGCTTTAGAAATCATCTGTAGAGCTATAGTTAAAAGAAGTATTTAGTGGAGCTTTGGTACAAACAGGGATTTACGTCTGCAGGATATTAAGAACAGGTCTGCACTCCCCTTTGGAAATGGCTACTGTGATTAAACACACACAAGCATAGGTAGTAATGACCGATTCATTCGAAAGTCTATTTATAGAAAACACAGAGGGGAAATAAAGGCAATTACCCGCTTCCTCCACAGAGTACATTTCTCGCCAGAACATCCTGTGCTTGTAGTCATCCTTTGGAGCATACAGGTACGTATTTAGTCCCCATTTCTGAAGTCTATAAACATAAGAAAAAAATCCTTCATTGGGAGAATAGTCTACAAATTCAGGAATTCTACGTTTTATTTGATCTAATTCTTTTACTTGATCTAATTTATTTTTTTCTTCATTGAACACTGTGTTATACTATTAAGTCACAATAACTTATGCACAACTGGACCAATACAATTGGACCAATTTGGTTTAGGCAAGATGGGAAGGTGAATATGACCCCCCAAGAGTATCAGTATTAGGCAAAATGCTGTTCCAGATTAGAACAGAAATTCTTTTCAGGCTTAAGTGGAAGATTATGATTATATTGCAATGGAACATGCTACAGTAAGAGGAAGCATGACTTGCCTTCTAAAAAGTTCTTTCCTCTGCTCCATAACCCAAGGTCTTCCATAAAATCCTATGGCAAACAAGATTGAAATTATCCAGTCAGATGTTAGATTATGGCTGCTCCATGAAACATTATATTACAACCCACTGTTTTCTTCTTCTTTTGCTACATTCATTAAAAAGCTTCCCAAACCAGAAAGGAAAAAGTAAAACAATCTAGTTAAACAGCATTAGGAAAGTGTAATAACTTAAACTGATCTAAATTTAAAATGCAATTATAACTTATTTAATTTCTTATGATCTAAGGTCTTATTCTGGCCACTGAAGCAATTAATTTTTAGAATCCAAACTGCATTCCTGAGCCTATGACCTTGACAAGTCAGAGCCACATTATTGTAAGAGCAGACTGAACAGTTATAACCTAATTAGACTATCACTCCAGACACCTACAAAATAGAATTGATTGTAATGTGAACACTGAAGACATTTGAAAACGTTTACCAGCTCAAAAATGCTTAGCTGGTGGCACAGATTAGGATGCTAAATACACACGCGGAGTATATAAATACATACTGGGGTAGATGATGTGGAATTTAAAAAAATGCACAACTGAGTCAACGAAATGCTTAGAATTTCATTCCTTTTAGTCAGTTTAATAGGCTCCTTGTCAAAATTAATTTGCAAGTTGATATCTTTTAAATTCCCACATCTCTACAAGCTAAGACTATGCCTTTGAATATACACTATTCTAAAATCACTTGTGTAGATGCTTTTATATGATTATTCAAAGTCATGGAATTCCACAGAAATTGTAACTGCTTCTCATTTTAAATCTAATCCTTCCATTCTAGAAACATAATACTTTAAAAAGCACTCTCAATGCACTCTTAGTCAAGTAAATTAAGTTAGACCTATGTGCAAACAGTTCAATCACAAGTGGGCCCTTCAAAACAATGCACACACTGCCAAGCTGAAGCTAAGACCAGAGACTAAAATAACACTGAAATTTAATAAGCTCTTCTTTTCAAACAGCACGGCCACTCAGTGATGAATGATGCTCCTAATACACAAAGCTTACAAGTCGCCACGGAACACCAGTTCAAAAGGTAGACAATATCTTCATTTCCAGAGCTATTCACCATTGTAAATCTGTAAATATTTGGTCTCACGGAGGTCAAAAACACCCTCCCACCACCTTTCAAAACTCAAAACTGATGCAACTGAAGCATTTTCTATATATTAACAAGTATTTCAGTTACCTGTTAAGTGAACAATGCTCTTTTAAGAAGCTTAAAGCAGGCTCAAGTTTTAAGAACTAGTGTCTCAAAGAGTCATCTTAGACTAACTGGCACCACGAAGTGGCAAAGCTGAGTAACTACTAATCCTCACAAACTTTAAAGTGACAGAGGACAGTTAAACAGAGGAACAAACAAGAGAGCAGTTGCAAGGTATGAAAATGTCTGTTTATTTCACCCACAACAAATTTCTCATTTTCACTAGCATTATCTAATTCTGACTGATACTGCCCTGAGGAAGCTCAACAACCCACAAAAGGAATGAAAAACTGTGATAACTAATGAATACCACCAATGTCTCTTAACTCGTTCAGAACACTTTTGCTTTAGCTATTATACTACTGTTTCACATCTACTAGCCTAAAGCAGAGCAGGGGTCTACTATAAAAAAAAATAAAAAATCAGATAACAAAAATTAATTAAATAAGACCGAAGAGAACATACTAATCTGAAGTGATACTTTTCCATCTGTCACCACATTTCTTAGATTATTAATGTCACCAGGGGATGACAATTCTTGGATCTTTCTGTCAAACTAAAGATCAACCTGGTTTCGTATTACTCACTCAAGACTGTGTGTCAGGTTAATATAAAGTCAACAGATCATGCCAAATACCTCATCCCAGTCACCACGCTCTTCATCACTAACAGTCAGGATATCCTGGAGGCAGAGCACTAGAGCTTTGCATCTAGTACTCTCTTAGATCTTATTACTCCCCAAACAAGTGAATTTGATATCTGTCATACACTTTTCACATTCTTAGAGTGGACATCCAGTATTTTCACCCAGTATTTAGCCAATCCACACCCTCTTTTCTACAAAAGATCCAAACTCTCCGTCTCATTGCTTTAATCTCACCATACCTCTAGTCTGTTAACCACTGTACTACGGTTAAGTATTTATCTACACTTCTGAAGTTAATCTCTGTTTTTCTCTTACCCCTATAATTCTTCTGAGTGACTAAGGAGACATGTTTTCACCCCCCACTATCGTTTACCTCATTCAACCCGTTGTTGTTGGTGGTTTTGTGGGGTTTTTTGCTGTTTGTTTTTAAACACTCTCCTATTCCTTTTTTTCCTGTATGCATATTAATGTTAGACTGGTAACTCCTAACTAGTGTGAAGACTGCTTCATTGGGCAGAGGCCATTTTCTTGCTCTGTTTTATGTACAGTACATCTGCACCAAAATATATGCAGAGGAGATCAACAATGTAACTAAGATGACAAGAAATACTATTATGGTATATGCAGTGGTTCCAATATAAACATGGATGAACAGGAGATCCATTGGCAGAAACATGAGAAAACATGCTGTTACGATCTATATTTCTGTTCACTGTTACCTGTCTCCAAAGCCTTCAATTTAGCATCTATCTTCACAGTATTAACAAAGACAAGACATCTCTTTCCATGCTGACTGTATTATAGCCCGAGTAAGTGCTAAAGAAATAAAGGCACTAACTGGGCCTAGTGCACTTCGCACAGTGACATCTGCAGAAGCCAAATGTTTTTTCTTTTTAAGATATGAACAAAAGGCATTCTCCAAGCAATGCAGATACTGAATTTGATAAACTGTTTCCCTCTCCATTACATCTGTTAATCATTTTGTTCTCCTACTGGAGGTACAAAAATAATAGCAGTCTACAGGAATTTAGAACAATTCCAAACCAACTATTATGTTGGGAATAAACTATTTTTCTTACTGGCTTTCAACCATCTAGCTTAACTGACCTGTCAGAAAAGCAGATAAACTCTGTAGTTACTAAGAATGCAAAAAAGAGTCCCTTTATTCTGCAGCTTCTGCGACAATTTAAACCTTTTAATGCTGCAACTATGCTAAAAGACAGAAGAAAACTATTCTACAGCTCAATTAAAATGGTAAGCTACAACACTTTAGTGAACAGGGAGCATTCAACATTAATTCCAGAACAGATGTGTACGGAATCACCTATTCCCTACCCAAGAAACTGAATCTGAGCCTCTAGCGCTCAGGATGAGCATGTACAGCTGCGATAATCGCAGTTCTTCTCTCTCTCTTTCTCTCTCCCCTACCTCGCCCTTTAGACACGTACTAGCAAGCGAGTCACAGCACTGCCTCAGCCTCCATGAGGAATCACGGGCCCGTTGGGGGTGCCAGGCCTGCCCTCACCTCGCCGAACAGCTGCCACCGAAGGGCACTCCCTGCTAG